AACACAACTACAACACAACTATAACAAACACTCAACTGACACAAGCACACAACTAACACAACTACAACACAAACACACAACGGACATAAACACACAACTAACACAACTATAGCACAACTAAAACACACAACTAACACAACTACAACACAAACACACAACTGACACAAACACACAACTAACACATCTACAACACAAACACACAACTACAACACAAACATACAACTACATCACAACTGACACAACTATAACACAAACACACAACTATAACACAAACACACAACTGACACAACTATAACACAACACAACTATAACAGCAATAAATGGTAAATGGGTTGTACTTATATAGCGCCTTTCTATCTTATTGAGATACTCAAAGCTCTTTACACAACAATCTGTGTCTTCATTTACCCATTCATACAGCACTCTACTAGATCTCTACAAAGCTAATACATAGTTCCCACACGTGACCAGTATTGTGCAATACTGGGTTTTCCGCCATTTGTTGAGGCACATGCAAAGAAGATGGCTTACAGATAGACCAGAGCTCAAAATATTGTTACTCTTGACCAAGAGCAAGATATAGGCATCAAATAGCTGTGGTCCCTATGAGGTGGAGAAAGAAATTATGTCAGACGAAACAGACAAGTTGTCACCAAGAAATTACTTTGATATCGTTAATTAGTAATGAACACGAGGAGTGCCTAAAATGGAGGAGCTTCACAGCTTTAAATCCATGGATGCTTATAATTAATAACGGATTTGTGACGGACGTACGAACCCTTCCCCCTCCCTGGGCTGCCACCTTACCGTGGTGGAGGGGTTTGGGTGACCCAATGATCCTAGGAGCTATGCTGTCAGGGGGCTTTACGCCCCTAATACGGTCACCCATGGCAGACAGGTCCTAGGTGAGGGACCAGACAAAGTGCAGCCCAAAGACCCCGATGATAAGGAAAAACAAATGGACTCAATGTTCCCTTGCCCGGACGTGGGTCACCGGGGCCCCACTCTGGAGCCAGGCCTGGAGGTGGGGCACGCGGGCGAGCGCCTTGTGGCCAGGCTTTTACCCATGGAGCTCAGCCGGGTACAGCCCGAAGAGGAGACGTGGGTCCCCCTTCCCATGGGCTCACCACCTGTGGGAGGGGCCAAAGGGGTCGGGTGCAATGTGGGATGGGTGGTGGCCGAGGGCGGGGACCCTGGCGGTCTGATCCTCGGCTACAGAAGCTGGCTATTGGGACGTGGAATGTCACCTCACTGGTGGGGAAGGAGCCTGAGCTGGTGTGTGAGGCTGAGAGGTTCCGGCTAGAAATAGTCTGACTCACCTCTACGCATGGCTCTGGAACCAGTTTCCTTGAGAGGGGCTGGACACTCTTCCACTCTGGAGTTGCCCCTGGTGAGAGGCGCCGAGCAGGAGTGGGCATACTTATTGCCCCCCAACTTGGTGCCTGTGTGTTGGGGTTCACCCCGGTGAATGAGAGGGTGGCCTCCCTCCGCCTACGTGTGGGGGGACGGCTTCCGACTGTCGTTTGTGCTTATGCAACAAACGACAGTTCAGATTATCCACCCTTTTTGGAGTCCTTAGAGGGGGTACAGGAAAGTGCACCTCCTGGGGACTCCCTTGTTCTGCTGGGGGACTTCAATGCTCATATGGGCAATGATAGTGAGACCTGGAGGGGTGTGGTTGGGAGGAACGGCCCCCCTGATCTGAACCTGAGTGGTGTTCTGTTGTTGGACTTCTGTGCTCGTCATGGATTGTCAATAACGAACACCTTGTTCAAGAATAAGGGTGTCCATATGTGCTCTTGGCACCAGGACACCCTAGGCCGCAGTTCGATGATCGACTTTGTCATCGTCTCATCTGATCTGCGGCCACATGTCTTGGACACTTGCGTGAAGAGAGGGGCGGAGCTGTCCACTGATCACTACCTGGTGGTGAGTTGGCTCTGATAGTGGGGGAGGATGCCAGTCAGACCTGGCAGACCCAAACGTATTGTGAGGGTTTGCTGGGAACGTCCGGCAGAGTCTCCTGTGAAACGGAGTTTTAATTCCCACCTCCGGGAGAATGTCAAACATGTTCCGGGGGAGGTGGGGGACATTGAGTCTGAGTGGACCATGTTTCATGCCTCTATTGTCGAGGCGGCTTACCGGAGCTGCGGCCGCAAGGTTGTCGGTGCCTGTCGCGGCGGCAACCCTCGAACCCGATGGTGGACACCGTAGGTGAGGGATGCTGTCAGGCTGAAGAAGGAGTCCTATCGAGCCTTTTTGGCCTGTGGGACCCCAGAAGCAGCTGATGGGATGTTGTAGGGTTGTGTTGGCTTGCGCGACTCTGCAATATTGCGTGGACATCGGGGGAAGTTCCCCTGGATTGGCAGACCAGGGTAGTGGTCCCCCTATTCAAAAAGGGGGACTGTAGAGAGTGTTCCAACTACAGGGGAATCACGCTCTTAAGCCTCCCTGGTAAGG